CGCTATTTACGGAACATGCTCCTCTATGCGTGACGGCGTGGTTACGTGTTTGATTAATCATGCATTCGGTTCCATCATGGAACGCTTTTATGACGTCAAAGTTTCTGCCAAACTGGCCGTGGCGGAGCTGCCTGTGTGCGGCAGTGTACCGTTAGTGGTAAATGCGTGCAGATGTTTCGTGCAAACGTCATGCACACGTGTTTTTGCCTTTTCTGGAGGTGTTCTTGCATATTTTGTCCGTCATGGTGCCTTCCACAGCTACTTGCGCATGTTTGGTCGTGGCGCTTTTCTCAAGTTATTTGATTCTTCAGCCTCATGTGAGTCATGAATGGTGGTTGCCAAACGCCTGCGTTATTTATCAGCAAAAAGTCATTGATCACCGAATGTCCCGATCACGTGATTCGTGATCCAGATCTTTGTTGGGACACTTGACACAGAACCACTGCAAGCATGAATAATTCAGAGGTCACATTGTTGTAGCCACAAGTGTAATGAAGCCAATGAGGTGCGTTATTTGCGTGACGTTTCTATGACGTCATGCGTGTCTCGGTGACTTTCAAATGGGCGGTGCGAAATAGGTTGTACAGGCACGTGTGCGTTTGGCTCAGAAACAAGATGTGAAGTTTTTTACAGGGCATTCCTATGACCTCCAGGGAATAATCTTCCAAATTGCCATCTACAAAACCCTGCACAGATGTGGAACTCTCCCTTTAAGCTTCCTCTAGATGGGCAGCTCCTGGCCTGGATGTCTTGGTCGGCGTACACCAATGAGTTATATGGCGTCAAGGCTCTGCTGAGACATTTCGGGCGGAGGGGGCAATTGCGTGTATTTGGCCACAGGGGCCAATAAGCCAAAGAAGAGACCTCGTCTTAGGCTACGACAAACCATGGTCAGTGCCGTCACAGCGGGGCCCCGTCACGTCACGGCAGGGTCACGTCAAGGCAGGGTCACGTCATGGCAAGGTCACATCACTGTAGAGTCACGCCACGGCAGGGTCACGGCACGTCACGACCGGGACAGTTAACTCCAGGCCAGGGCAGCCGAATCGCATGGAAGCAGACGGCATCCGCCCCGGCTCTAGCAAACTCATCGTCGACCCTGTGGCGTTACGTGGGGCCGATGTCAGCAGACCACTTTGCCCCTCCCACCATTCCGCCGGAACATGCCCCTCGCTGGGCGCCTGACCCTCGGGACCCGGCCGCCCGCCCGGAAACCCTGCAGGCGGCTGTGTCTGGGCCGGCCAGCTGCGGCGTCGGCCGGGCCGGCGCGGCGCTTCATCTGACCCCCGGGCCGCGTGATGGATGGTATTTGATCCCGCCCGATCAGACGGCCGCGGCGTCGCGTGGCAGCGGATAAAGTGGCGGGATATTGCGTCAATCACTCCACGGCTGTCGATCCAAGGACGGCTTCGCTCGTTAGCCGGATGCCCGGGCGGCGGCTCTTGGTCTGTCGCCGAGGCGCGCCGCTGCTCACGCCGAACAGAAGAGGACGCTGGCGCCGGGCCCGGGCGCTGGCGGCGCGCGAGCTGCGCGACGGTCGAAGCCCCGCGGCCGCGCCCGTTCAGTGGCCCTTCTCTGGCGCGCAGCACGGTCGGGGCGGCGATATCACTCAGTGGCGAATCTGTTGTGTCAGGGGCAGGCGGTGGATGTGCGCTATTGTTTGTGGTCGGAAATAGCTGGGCCGATGGCAAGAAAGACGACGCGAAGCTAATGCACCAGCTACCGATATCATCCGTCTATCAGTTGTTCTGTTAAATAATTAATGAAACTCTGGCTGTGCAGTTCTGCCAACTCTCCGCACGCTTGCGCAGCACGTCTCATCGAACACTGCGATCTCCTCCAGCATCGCTCTCCGGCTCCTTCCGTGAACCCTGCACACAATCATCCAACTAGCGATAATGTCGGTGGTTATTGGGGAACTTCGCAGGCGACGAAAGCATGCTGAGCCCGGGTAGTCAAACGCCATCAGCAAACTTATTGTTCATAGCCCGGGCGACGAGCTAGCTCAGGACCGCGGCCGCCCTAAGGTCGCCTGTTAGGCTGGCGAACGAGCACATGTGAGCGAGTTGCACGCATGGTAGTCACCATTATGTTGCATTATGGTGCGCAACCTTGTAGGATAACAGCCGCACGTGAAGAAAGAGCTAAACGTGTTTTAGTTGTTTTGTGTCTTCTACTGTTTTTCATCTGCTTTTAAAGTTTATACATTATTTGAGCATAGCGTATGTTGTATGTCGCTGGTAGATGCGGTAACCCCTCAGATCGTCTTTGCCATAGCTTTTTGTTTGCATGCCTTAAATCGATAGCATGTATGTTTGTTGTTTCCAGTCAGAATCTAGACTTCGCTCCGTCAGACCCGTGCTAGAAAACACCGTCGCATATCGTGCATTTTTCGAAACCTGTCGTTGGTTAACCTCATCTTCTCAAGCAGGAAAACGAAAGAGCTGGATTGTTGCAGATTGCAATAACTACTTGCGCTGCGGTGTTACTGTAAGTCACCATATGCCCGTATATGCTCCTTTTACCGGTTTCCTGCCACGCCCCACACTCGTCCACCTGAGTGTGACAAATTGAATTACAAAACGAAATGGCGCTGACTTTGATCTTTCCTTTCATCAAGAGAACAGCCTAAGCTCTTTAGCCTCTGATGCGTATTCGCGACCCACTTGTGGGCGTTTTCGGCGAGATACCTCATCACGAAAGGATCGATCTTTAGCACAGCCCGCCGTGAGCGCACGCCTCTTACATAAATGACCAGCGCACCCCAGCCTCTACAGCAACTCGCTGAGAGGCCTCAGTCTGCAGCGCAGCTCACCTCAAGAACACGGTCTTTAGTGAAGCTGAGTACAGTATGGGACCCCATCCTCCAGCACGGCTCAGCGTGGGACCAAAGTATCTGACGCAGCTCGCCACGTGTCTCAGACCCAGCACGGCTCAGCGTGGGACCACAGTCTCTGACGCAGTTCGCCACGTGTCTCAGACCCAGCACGGCTCAGCTTGGGACCAAAGTATCTGACGCAGCTCGCCACGTGTCTCAGACCCAGCTAATTACAGAACCCCTGTATCATACTCAGTTAAAACAGTCTCTGTCTAAGGCCCACCTAATCACAGAGCTTCTGTCTGGAGCAGAGGACACGCGACGAGCTGGGTCACAGCTCGCTACGTGTCTCCGACCCACCTAATCACAGAGCCTCTGTCTGGAACAGAGGACACGCGACGAGCTGGGTCACAGCTCTCCACGTGTCTCTGACCCACCTAATCACAGAGCCTCTGTCTGGAGCAGAGGACGCGCGACGAGCTGGGTCACAGCTCGCCACGTGTATCTGACCCAGCTTATCACAGAGCTTCCGTCTTCGTATAGCTCGCCACGACACCTCAATGGCAGAGCCTGAGGTGCTGACGAGGCTCGCAGCAGAACCTCAGTCTCTGACCCTGATGCCCGGCTTTCTGGCGGTGCCGGTCTGAAGAGAGGCTCACTGAGAGGCTGCCCAGCTGTGAGGGACAGTGCGGTCCCTCACACTGACCTGGCTGGGAGCCGTGAGCATGCTTCAGACGCCTGCGGACTCGAAGCCGCGCCTCGGTTCGCCCCGGCCACCAGTCCAGCCGACAGATTTCGGTCCGCGAGCAGCGCTGGGGTCCGCCTTGATGTGCGATGAGCCTTCTCAGGCGGCTTACTCTTCTCTTCGACTGACGGCCAGAAGACAAAATTCCGCCGACTGTTGAGGGATGGACAGAGTTTCGTCATCTAGCCCTATTTTTGTGGGGTGTTTGTAAGCTTGGGAACGAAAGGATCTAGGTTGTTTGAGGTATGTACTTTATCTAGCCAGCGGTTGTTGTTTAAAACAATCAGGCAAAAACGAAGGAATTCTTTTGCAGAACGTGGCTTTCCTTTTAAGCCTTAGGTATCCGCCATTTACCGCTGAAACTCAATGATTCCTTCAAAGCCGGTCTGGTGAGAAAGAGCACTAATGAGCGTAACGGCGCAAGCTGAAAAAAATAGATTGTATGAAATATGTATTTTACAAAGTGTACCTACTATTTTTTCCCCGCTCCCACCCGACCCGTCCCCTTCACGATGCCTAAAATGCTACCGGTTCTGCTTGACTCCCTGGTCTTCATTTGGGCCGCTAATGATCTACGTGTCTACTCCGCGGTGCACGCCTTATCCCCTCCGAGCCAATCATTCTCTCTCACCAGAGCACAACACGTCAGGTCATTACCGCTTCCACGCTTTTGTAACGGCTGGCCACGGTGAGAAAACAGGCCGGCCGTATCGCATGACCACGCTCGGCACAGCCTGGCGGTGGCGCGCGCCCGTCAGGCCGGCGCACGCGGCCACCTGTTGGCGCAGAGGGGGGCAGCGCGCCGTCGCGCCGCTGCGCCGCCGTCGGCCGCCGTCGCCGCCGCCGCAGTCGCGGCTCCGGCTCGTCGGGGTCGACGGGGAAACCAACGCTTACTGGGTGTGCCGGCGCACGGCGGCGACTGGGGGGCGCGAGTGGCGTTACCCGCGTTGTCCAGCTGCGTGACGCTGACCTGCGGGTGAAGAGGTGGACCGAGGTCACCACGCCGGGCGCCTCTGCGTCCTGCAAGGCGCGCGAGAACGCAGCGACAACTGTGTACTGTGATTTCACTCGCTGCAAGAATCGTAAGGGTGTCGCTTCGTTGTGCTTTCCGTGGATAGTTTCGTGTAACGTGCTCTGAAACAGTGCGGTAGACTGCCACTCCCCGCGTTTCGGTGCTGTCTACTTCAGTGTTGGATGTTCAACGGTTAGATCACGCATACAGCGATTTCAGATACTTCCTTGAGCGTTTAGAGCGAGGTGTCGACAACAGTGGTAGTTCACTCCCGCAGCTGTGAGCGTGTACGACTGTTCATGCGGCACCTCACCCTGCGCCTGTCCGTCTGCGCGCCCGCGGCCGCGGCCAGCACCTAGCGCCGTCGGCATCCGCTCTTCTGCTCGCCCCAGCGCGCCGAGGCGCGCGGACCTCTCGGCCGCAGCATGGCGCATTCGTGTCCGCACCGCGCCACCGTCGAGTGGGCGCAGTGCAACGGGCAGGCGGCCGTGCTGCCGGACTCGCCGGAGCCGGAGCTGACGCCGCTGCGCTGCCACGGGCGCGGCTCGCCGGCGTTCGAGGCGCACCAGCTGACGCCGCTGCGGCTGCTATCCGGCCGCGCCTCGCCGCTCTTTGAGACGAGGCAGCTGCGGGCGCCGCCGCCGGCGGCGGCCGACTGCCGGCGCGTGGACCTGCTGCCGCTGCAGGACGCGCTGCCGCCGCGCGACGTGCGGCCGTTCCAGGACGTGCACGACGTGTGCGACGTGCTACCGTTCCAGGACGCGCCGCCGCCGCCGGCGGCCGACTGTGCGCTTGACATACCGGCGGACCTGGAGGAGCACCTGCAGAGCTGCCGCTGCCACTGCGACCACATGGGCTACGGAAACTATCAGGTAGGTTCGCCGCCGCCCCGCCGGAAGCGGGCCATTTCCGGTGCGCGGGCGGGGGGCGGTGCTGACGGATCACCACCGCCGGTGGCCGGCATTGTCTGGGGCGCAGGCAGGCCAGGCGGGCGCGGTCCGTGGTCCGCCATGTCACAGCGCGGCTGGCTCGGCGCAGCCAGAGACGGCGCGGCCAGGGAAGGAAAACCAGGCAGTGCGTGCGAATTGAGTGCGATATGCTTGTGCACAGTGCGATATATAGATGTGCTCTGACACGCTTCCCAGTGGCTGCGAGCGTTTTCAATGAGATGTCGTATCTAAACGGCTCCAGGAAAGAAGCATTCCGTTTAAGACATGGCTTGACGAATGACGCCATAAGAATGGGTGTATGATTGAAAAGATCCAATTCTGGGCTGATGAATGCCTCAACTACGGAAGTTTCCGCGCGCAGTATCGTCTGCAAATTATGAAGAACTATCGATACGCGGAACACCCGCAACTTCGCACTTTGTGTGGCTGACAGCCAAAATGATGGTACCGATGCTTCAGTAAGTTCCTGGATTACCATAAAATTCTCATAAAGCTGCCCGTTCCCCCAATGGACCCGCCACCTCAGCTGACCCGACCTCCGACCCCAATACGCTAATGGCCGCGGTGTCTTGCCATGCTCAGAGGCGGTACTGTGCTCCCCCGAGTACCTTCTCTGACCAGCGCCGGCACGGACCGCTCTGGAGGGCCGTCATAGCCTCGCGGTCGCAGCCATTCGCGGCAGGCTGGGCCGCCGGGGCTCTCCTTTTGTTCTCTGCCAGGACGGTACAACAAAGCCCGTCTTGACTGCTGGCAAACCGCACCCGGAACACTCGGCTTTTTAGATCTGTTTTCAGTCTAGCAAAATTATATCTGCTGCTTAATGGAGTCGTTCAGATGATATTAAGGGCGTATTAAGAGACAGTGAATTTGCGAGTGAAGTGATGCATCGGTGTGATGCTGCCTTCCACTAAAGTTAAAGAACCGCATGAGCATGATGTTGGCTTGATTAATGCTGCTTAACGTGCATTCTGACAATGTGATAAGTTTAAAGCCGCCTCCCACATGAGCCGACCGGCCGGCTTCCAAGCCCCGACGCCGGACAGCCACCCGGCCATGCTCAAGTTGACCCTCCGAGTTCGGACGTCCGGGCGGGGGTCCAGGGATCCTGGTGTCCTGGGGCCCGGGGTCCTGGTGTCAGGGGGTGCGGGGTCGTGGTGTCCGGAGGTCCGGGGTACAGGGTTTTGGCGTCCGGGTGTCCGGGTTTCTGGTGTCCGGGTGTCCGGGGTCCTGGTGTCCGAGTGTCCGGGGCCCTGGTGTTCGGGGGTGCTGGGTCCTGGTGTCCGGAGTCCGGAGGTCCAGGATCCTGGTGCCTGGTCGCTCGGACCTGTTCCAGACGCGCTGGAAACGTCACGGTTAGTTTGTTATCCGCTGTAGGTTACCCGTCGTTTTGCCAGCATTGCCTTATCTCACGCATCGGTGCTGCAAAGCACTTCTGTTTTAAGTGATAATAGGAACGAGGGAGGTCCGACGCGTGTGACGCTACTTGGAAGAGCGTGAAACTTGGAAAGAAGGGACTCTGACTGCACCCAGCCTCGGTTAAGGAAGCGTTGGAGGAGTGAGCGGAAACTGAAGAATGACTTCGCCTCATTATTCATAAGTGACCAGAGCAACGGCGACAAACTTCATTCGCCTCCCTGTTTTGGTCACGATGTGATGCCGCTTTCCCATCGCCATGAAACCTTGGTTTTCTGAAAGTTGTTGCATGTTAGCTGCGAAGGAACATTAATAATGCACGCTGCATTGACACCACGCGCCCCCACCAAAAACCAACAACGGCCGTTTTCATAGAAATCATGAAAACCTCTGTAAGCTTGGCATGTTTTGTACGATTAATCTCGCACTCCCAACATCTAAAATAAAATTGATGATACAAAACAAAATGCTGGACCAAACACTCAGATGACAGTCCTTTCTTCACTAAGAAGTTGGTGTACGTTTATTGCGACTCTCTTGCTACATTCCCTCGCCAATACACCTCAAATATGTGGCACGCTCTGGTGGTGTCGATCACGCTTCCGAAGGCTGTTCAGGCGCAGCCGAACGGGATAAACCAAGTTTATCGCTCGGCCGAACGAGTGTGCGAGCCCGGACGGCATGCTTGGGGTGTCGAGGCCGGCCGGCGAGCGCCCCGGCTCGCACTGGGTCCGGGCCCGTTCCCTCGTTCGTCTCTGGTCTTCGTGCTGGGCCTCCAGACATTTCCATCGTTTGCAGCAGCGTTCCGGACCCGGCGCCGGACATCAGTTCATGTGTGAACTGGGCTTCGGTGCGACACAGTAAACACATGCCTGACTGACGGACTCGTGCTCGGTGACCTGCCGACTCCGTCTTCGTGCCACTTTGCATCCGACCTTTCGTGCTGAAATATGTATGGGGGTGGAGGTGGGGCGGTGGAGAATGATCCCCGGGCATCTTTCGGCTGGTCATCTGTCTCGTATTCTGCCTCCTATTCCAGTTCAGGTCATTGGTCATCCCATCCTTTGCTGTATTCCCATTGGCTCGGTCTGGGAAGGTTTCATTGACAGTTGGAGTGGAACTAACACGGTATCAGACTATCAGACTGGCAACGTAGGCTCGGATGTCAGACTGACGTGGAGCACGAGCCCGCTCAGCAACTCCGCACACTGAAAATATTTTGAACCTCCTTTCAGACGTATAATAAACCGCAGTGTTAAGCCACATGCTCTCAAAAACAGCACGCATTCAGCGGAAATGAAAATGAATGAGCCAGCCTAAAATAAACAGAGTATTCATTTGCTTAGTCAACATTGTCATGTGCTTTCAAGATATGTTTGCGCAGCCGGCTTTTAAGTACGCGGGAGGTAGTGTACAAGACTGTGATGGGAAGTTCTTAAAAGCGCAGGAGATGGAATATGAAATGTCCGCCCCACTTAATGAGATGCTCTAAAAGAGGTCACGCGCCCACCAGCCCGTCGGCTGGTGTGGTTATCGCACCGTACCTGGTGAGAGAATCGAGAGTGAGGGATTCCTGCCTCGGTGTAGGGACTCCTGCCCCGATGTGGGGACTCCTGTCCCGATGCAGGGACTCTTGCCTCGATTAGGAACTCCTGTTCCGATGTAGGGGCTCCCGTCCCCATATAGGGACTCCTGCCCCGATTTAGGGTCCTCTGCCCTGAGGTAGGGGCTCCTGCCCCGATGTGGGGACTCCTATCCCGATGTGGGGACTCCTGTCTCGATGTGAGAACTCCCGCCAGATGTAAGGACTCCTGCTCCCATGTAGGGACTCTTGCCTCGATTAGGAATTCCGTCCCGACGTGGAGCCTCCTGTCCCGATAAAGTGCAAAAAACTTTTTCAACCGAGGAGCTTTGGTACTTGTGTGTTGTCAGACCTAGGTCGGTCGAGTTCAAGGACACATCATCGATATGTTGAAATTTCTTCCGAGCTGAAATTTATGTGGTGGCAATGCTTAGTAGCTGCTGCAATCGGCCTATCGGAGTGTTATTACTGACTCAGTCGACAACGATAGGACAATGTATAGGGTGAAAGCATTCGTCCCTGCACTAGAGTCACCACAGCGGCTTTGGACACGCTCGCTTGCTATGTCCTGTCGTTTGTTGGTTGTTCATTGTTCGCTGCTCCTCACTGACCTGAACTTGAGTGTGCGCGACTGCCACTCCTCCGGCGTTCAAACACAGCAGCGCTCCTGAACTTGGGTGTGCGCGACCGTCGCCCCCCCCCCCCCCCCCGGCGTTCAAACACAGCAGCGCTCCTGAACTTGGTGTGCGCGACTGTCGCCCCTCCGGCGTTCAAGCACAGCAGCGCTCGTGGACTTAGTTCTGGCTTCTGCAGCACTTGCCTGATTTCCAAGCTTATTTTCCGTTCGATTTTCGCGTTTGGCTTTCCTTGTACCGCATCGGACAGCGGTTTTCATTTGGCTTTCCCCTCGGACGCAGACGGTCGGTCGAGCCAGCGGCTGTGGAGCGCTTGTGATGGAGCTGGTGTCGTGCGGCTGTTCCGCTGCAGAAATACTCCCAAGCGAGCGAGATTGGGTGTGTTAAGGTGGGCGCTGTTCGCACATATGACATGAAATGTGAGGGTAATGCTGCGTGGTGAGTTCGCTCTGTAGTGGTTTTGATCATGTGATATCTTTCAGCTGTCTTTCGGAAGACTGGTTTGGTGTCTTCGGTTTACCAAGGTGTGAAGATGTCGCATCCCATTGGCCGGCTCCAAGGTTTCTCACTCCCAAAGACTTGATCAATATCATTCGAGCAAAGATCGCTTTGCCATCAGGACGTGTCGCGTGCAGCCTGAACCCCCTCCCCCAAGATGGGCCGATGCTGCCACCTGTGTAATTTTGCATCCGATCTAGGGAGGAATGCGGAGGTTTCTTGTGCCGCAGAATGAAAAAAAAAATACAAGATCGCCACAGGCCGAGTTGACCCTCCGCTCAGTTGCCATCTGAACTTTCCACATCAGTTGGGTCAAGCAACGCTTGGAACGCAACGCCTGCACCGCAACGCAAGGCCAGTCCACTGGGTCAGTATGAGTCCCCTCCTGGGACTCTTGCTCGGTGTCATTAGATTACGAGTTCTGCATCGGGTCCGTCCAGTCCAGCATTTTTGCCCTCGTCCAGCACGAGTCCAGCATCTTTGCTCTTGACCACCGAGGCGGCCGCTAGCATCGTGTGATTAAAAAACACAGCAGCGATCTCCAATTTTGCGGTTTAGTCTATTTTCGCAACTCGATTCGATCGCACACCAGTGAAGTCGTTACAGCTTGTTCTTCGAAACCCGTGAGTCAATTTAAACTGCATTTGAAAGTCTCCCGCCGAGGGGTCCAGCCGCCAATCAACAATCATCCTCAATCGGGATCTTCCCGGAATCTTTGAAGTTTGGCGAGAAAACAATCTCCGCTTGGAGTTACCTGGTGTCCGCCGGAGTTCAGCAACAAATCACCGTGCCGG